ACCGCAGTTGTGGACGAAACGCCAGGGAGAAATTCCCATAGACCACGACTTCAAAGCCCGGAAAACATTCAACAATAAAACTAATTTGGCCTTGGCCATTGTGTGAAAACCGAAATTTCCGAAGATAAACCTAACATGATTGAGAAGATTAAAACTCGCAATAATTCAAAATTTAACGGCCAATTAGTCCAGTACGAATCAAGACAAAATTGAATAAAACACTACTCAAATACATAACTGACAATTTGTGAAAACTGTAAATTTGAGAAATATTAAAACATCACCAGTAGCTCAAAAATATGAAATCCATCAAAATAATCTCATCTTCTATGAAAAATTCAATCAAAAATGGGTTTGATAAAATAGTTGAGAATCAAACAATAAGTCCTTTAGTCACTTTAGAGTTAAGTGGATTAAGGATGAAGTGTGGAGGATTCCAAAGTTAGGCTAGGCCAAAAAAAACAATCATAGCTCACAGAAACAAAGGTCATGCCTCGGATAATGAACGGATTTCGATGACGACCCATGCGAGAACAAGCACAACGCAAAAACAAAAATTTATTCCCACTAGATTTGCATGCTGGAATATCACCTCTTGGAATGGTAGAGATCAGAAGATGATTATGGAAATGGAAAAGCATAAAACAGACATATGTGGAACATCTGAGGCCAAAAGAAAGGGAAAGGAAACTATCAAATACCAAGATTACATCTTTGCCTGCTGTGGAAAACCAAAGCAAGACCGCGCCAACACAGGTGTGGGTATTCTTATACATGATAGGTACTCTGACATTATTGAAAACAGAATACGTAAATGATAGGATCCTAAGAATCAACATGACATCCCCCGGGGGCCCACTACATCTAATTAGCATCTATGCTCCCGATATATCCAAGCCAAGAGAAGACTGAAAGCTTTTATAACTCCCTACAAACCACTATAGACCAAATACCCAACAGCGAAAGGTTAATACTTCTCGGCGACTTTAATGCTCGAATTGGCACAGTAGAAATTCCAGGTAAAACAGAAGTTTAACGAACGGTGGTGAACGGTGAACTCAATGAGAACGGCGAGTCCCTAATCCATTTTTGCACCAGAAATGAGATAAGAATAAATAACACCTTTTTCCAACATAAATACACCTTTTGTAATACAAGAGGCCAAAAATCCATCATTGACTATATAATAACGAACAGAGCTATAACCCTACAACAAATCAATCACGTAAGAGTGCTAACATCAGCCAATGTTGGCACGGACCATAATCTTGTCTTGGGAAAGATAACAGTGGAAAAACATCAGAAACGTAATCAAGAATCGCTAAATATCGAAAAATATAACATGGATTATATATGGAAAAATATAACTCGACTTTTACGGTACAAAAGAATTATACCAGCGGAGACTTACCAACAAACTACTAAACGAAAATATAACCGACGGCAATGTCAATGAGAACTGGGAAAGGATAAAAGCGTGTATCCATAAAGCCGCGAAATAATTCTTAGGAAAAAGAAAAATTAACGTGCATGCCAAAACCACAACACACCATGGTTCTGGGAGGAGGCGAAAAAGCTAGCCAGCAGCTGAGCAGGCAGAAGATGAAGGAGAGGAGGTGCCAATATCATTCACGGATGAAGAAGTAAAAAACAAAACAAAAAAGCTTAAAAATAGAATAGCACCGGGTGTGGACAATATACCCAACGAACTTCTAAAGTATAGCGGTAATGAACTCACAAAAAAACTAACGCAACTTTTCAATGGAATATTAAGCTCACAAACAATCCCCGACGATTGGCACAAGAGCTTCACCATTTCCACCTTCAAAAAAGGACAAAAAACCAACCCAGAAAACCACAGGGGTATAACTCTTCTATGGTCCTCCATGAAATTATTCACCGGCCTTATTAAAGAACAACATATCGAAATTAAAGGCGAACAGCAGGGATTCCGGAGAAATAGGTCTACAACTGACGTCCTATTTATCATAAGCCAAATAAAAGAAAAAGCAATAGAATTCGACACCCCCGCTTTTGCATGTTTTCTCGATTTATCAAAAGCATTTGACCGTGTCCGACTGGAAGACATTATCAACACCTTGATATCAACATCTTGAAGAAAAAAACGAACGCCGGCAAGAATCAGAAAAACAGTATACTGCCTAAACACAGGCAATTCAACCCGAATTAAAGTTGATCATAAGACAATAAATGACATTCCGATATCGCAGGGTAAAAGGCAAGGAGATAGCTTAAGCCCGTTTCTGTTCACCTTGATTATGGCCGAGATCATTGAAAAGATCAGCGGCTTAAGAATGGGGTATAAAATCAACAGAAAACCCATTAGAAAATATTACTACGCTGATGACGCGACAATATTGGCAGAAACGGAGGACAATTTGCAAAGACAACTTTACAGATTCAATCAGGTCAGCACACAATTTAATATGCAAATATTAATATCCAAGACAAAATGTATGCCATTTGCCAGAGAACCAACGAGATGTAAGCCGGTTATAAATAATGAAATTGTCGGGCAAGTCACAACTTTTAGATACCTTGGAGCGGATATTTCTAGCCGCAACAAACCCAGATCAACAAGGCCTCGTTGACATCCGGTTACTTAAGAGACGTCATATGGAACAACAAACATATGAGCATCGGTAGTAAAGTTATATATACAAGATATGCGCAAGAGCAATACTGACCTACGGCTTCGAGACCCGAGCAGACACAAACAAAACAAAATGTATGTTAAGAACGGCAGAGATAAAGACTCTAAGGTCAATAGCGGGAAAAACACTACGGGATAGAGTGAGGAGCGCAACAATAAGACAGACCTGCAAGGTGGATAATGTAATCAGATGGGGACGAAAGCGCAGAAGATGCTGGCCGGACCATGTAGAAAGAATGGACCCCGAAAGAATAGCTAAGATTGTGGGGAATGGAAATCCAGCTGGTTAAAGACCCATCTATATCACAGGAAAATCAACAACTTGACCACACGAAATAAACAGAACAAAAGGTCTTTACAAAGAATAAGAAGAAGAAGAACTTGACAAGGGAATAATCAAAGATGTAAGAACTAACTAGACAAAATTAAATAAAAATTTAAATAAAGTAAGAGAGGCCAAAAAGAAAGAAATGGTCAATAAGTAATTAGTCAACCTGCATAAGCAATTTTAAACACACAAGAATGTGAAAGTATAAAAAATAGTTTTTATACAGTAGCACCTTTTAAGGGACCTCACAATTTACAGCTTCTGTTTGATATATGACAAGAGTTATCTCGCTTAAAGGTGACGGTTTCTGAGATTTTTGGTATTTTGCAAAAGTAGAAATTTGTTTAGTATTTTAACCTTGTTTCATTATCAGGTTTTAAGAAAATGCATATGAAAACGAAATTACGTAGTTTCGCCATTATTATCGCTAGCGAAAGAATCACATTTACCCATTACAGTGACTTTCGCCACGTACGCTTCTGACAGCTTGACTGCTTGCCTCTGACTGTTTCGACAACATTTTCTAAGCCGTTTTTCAAACCTTATACCATTCCCGGTTAGTTTCCACTGAGGATCAAGACAACATACGGTACAAAAGACGAAAGTTAAAGTTCAAAATGAAGAAATTAAAGTTATTAAACTGTTCAAGTTAACATTAACCGATCCAAAAAGTGCGTTCGGGTAGGAAGAGAGAATTTACACGTCCACAAAGAGTAAAGAATGTTGTGGAGAAACTGGAGAATAATTCTCGGTTATCCAACCGGAAAATGGACAATAAAGTAGGCTGCGGTGAGAGCACCGTACGTCGAATCAAAACCAAAATGGGCTTCAAGACTTATAAAGTTGAGACGACATCACACAGAAATGCAAATAAGAATCTGGAAACAAAGAATGGGCTCGAAAATTTAACACTGATTTATGACGACGTTCTTTGTGACTTCTCCCAGGTGCCGAGTCAAGAATTTTCCGCAGGGTGTAAGCGCGGAGGTGTCATGAAGGGTTCAGGGGACTAAGAAAAGTTAAAGTTTCCCAAGAAGTTTCTCGTGTGGCAAGATGTGTAACTGTGGGGAGCCCAGTAATTTTTTTGTAATAAAATGAGACGATAAACTACGGAATTTACGTAAGAGAGTGTCTTTAAGAAAGATTGTTGCAGTTCTTAAAACAACATTCCTGTCACTACTGCTTACAGCCGCTGTAGAATGGTTCCAAATGAATAGAGTCGTTTTGGTGTCTAGGGAAACCATACCACCAAATTGCCTAGAGCTTGGCCCAATCGAACGATTAGTAAAAAGAGCTTTGAAAAAAAGACTAAAAAAAGCTAACATCCTACTAGATTTCAAAGTAAAGTGGAATTCTGCCGCGAGAAAAGTCAACAAAAGTCATAGTCATACAAAAATAAGCACATGGCTGTGTTAAGTCCTTAAGTTAGTTGATCCAAAATTATAAAAACATTTCTCCATGCAAATGTCCTTGGAAGAACATTTATTTTATTGTAGTTGGTGATCGTGATGCTAATTGGTGAAAGATGCTCATTGAGGTGTTTGGATTAATAATAAAAAACAGTATTTTTCTTCTGCCAACGTTTTCGTTATATTTTATCGTTCTCAGGGCTCTAAAATGGGAACAGAATGGTTTCAGTCTTAAGTAAATATAACATAGAAACAAATCATTAACCAAATTATAAAATAATTTATGATACATATCCTAGAGAGTCTCATACATAAATAAGCTCACTTACCACAAATAATTTTTTTACCCACTTCTCTTATATTTGATTTTACTTTTGTAAGAATTTCTCTTATTAGTGACAAACAATTCTTACTATGTTTAAGACTGAAACCGCTCTGGTCCCGTTGGCTAAAATATATGCAAAACGTTGGTCCAAGAAAAACAGTATAAGTTTTGCTGCTGTCTATTGACTGATTAGCTCAAAACCCCAACGGACATCATTCACCCGTTAGCATCACGGCCACCAATACACTACAACAAAAATATTTTCATTGGTCTTTTCTTCCAAGGACATTGAGAACTGTTTTCAGAATTTTCCATCAACTAACTTAAAAAAGACATTCCATTCTCTTAGACATTGGAGCAGCCATGTGGTTTCATGTCCTTTTAAATCTTTCTTTTCACCAGTGCTGGTTTGGAAGAAGCTGCTATCAAATCTGACTTGCGTGGGTACCAGATTTGACCCTTCCGGATTTTTTTAAGCGGATATGTGTAAGTAGTAGCTTATAGCAAACTTCTAACAATTCGAGAAAAGAGCTTCCGAAAGTTTAAGGTTATATGCTATATGGCGCGTCAGCCGGTCGTCATTTTGAATATGTATTGATAGTTCCGTTGTACTCGTTGACTCAAAGGTAGTATTTCTGGATGTTTGTTGCAAATATGCTTTTATTTGTACTTTTGTTTTAAATAGCTTGCTATATGTAACGCATGAATCCCGAAAATATGCAAGTCTCGTGAAATTTCGAGGAGTTAGTTTTAAGAAATCTTGCATTGTATTCAAAAGACAATTACATTTTGCATCTGTTTGTGACATAAAAAATACAGTTTTCCATTTAAATCAAGCAAATTATTATGTTTGAAAACGTGCAATTGCTTGAAAACAATGTCGAAATACCCTGTAAAAATTCTTTAGAAAACTTCAACTTTAAAAATTATTCCCATTTCTAACAGTTTCATTGAGTATACATATAGCTGTCGATGTGAGTAGACGTGTTCTAGTCGCGGTGATAGTGGTGTTTACAGTTAGAGGCATACGTCGATTAAATACCATTCCATACGAGGTGGTATTGCGGTCAAGGCCGTCAAGCAATCGTGTGACAAATATCAACAAGACGATATAAAGGTCAGGAACAACCATCGGAAGATGGCAACAATAACGAATAAGTTTGCACTTACACAGCAACAATTAAAAAGCGAAAATGAATTACATTTGTGGGAGGTATTGCAGCAAACCCTGACTCAAAAGAACTAAACCATTCGAACTGGTTTAGAAAGCAAGAATTTGTGAGAGAGTACATGTCAAACCGATGTACTATAATATTACGGACAGAGTGACTATCGGAGGATGTGTGTGCTTTGTGTTTTTTAAAGTAGTAGATTAAGTTAAAGACAAATGGCTTATTAGTATACTGTACTAGATTGCTATAATAATAAAATAAAAAAATAAAAAAATTTCTAACAAAACACCAAATATCTCAAAAACCGTTAGATCTAATAGCGTAACAAAATGGTGAAGAAATTTAACGTTGGATTAAATCTAGTAATTAAGACATTTTATGCATTGTAAAATATTTATTAAATGTACCCAAGGTAAAACTTTTATATCCATAAAATGAAAATGTCTAAAACTCTCTAAAAAGTTTAGCCGAAATCTTTTCCGTGCTTTAACCTGTGAAACTATGTATATCTATTATAAGAATAACTTACCAATAATCCACTTAGAAACATGTATTTATTAAGAGGATCATCTAGCCTATCCAAGCAAATTTTGCAATGTTCCACCTGCTCTTCTTGAGTTTTAACTTTAGGGGGTAACAGCCCGTGTATACCGAGAGCTTGACGTTCTTCGAAGCTAAATGCAAGACCCTGAAAATAAATAAATAAATATTAAATATACAATTTTTGTAAGAGCTAATGAAATTTTATTGTTTGCTATTGATTAATTTACTTTCACCACTATTCTATTAATTTTCTAAATATTGCTTGTATAATGAATAATCCTTTAAGAAATTGAGTAAAAGTTTTAAAACAGTAAATATTTTTTACATTTCTACTTTTCATTTTCTACTTTTACCGTTAAACGTAATTTAGATTTGTGGATAGTACGTTCAGGTAAATATTTCTCGTAGTTTTGGCAGAAAGTGTGTTAGATTTGAATTGAGTATAAAATGTTGACCTTTTCAATAATAAATAACCTTTCATGTACCTATAGGGTTTTAAAAAATACGTTTCGTACTTTCAATGTGTATAATTCCAATTGTATCAAACGGAAAATTTTCGTTCCATTCCCCTATTCCTATAGCCCATGTATATAATATCATCTGGTAGTATTATTTACTTTAATTTAAATAGGTACTTCTCAAATGAACTTGAAATCAACATGACAAAAAGCACTTAATAATAAGTACTTACACAATCAACTTTGTAATATACATTGATATTTATCACATACCAATATTAATTTGACCAATATGAGGTCTCATTGTCAGAAAATATATACCTAAGATTATATTTCAAACATCATTCTGCCCTTAACTTTTTTATAAAATCATCGAAATACACCTTTTCCATACGAGAGTAAGAAGATACGTTAAATTAATCTTATACACATTCATATGCATCGTCATCATTAGATGGAACATTTTATACAAATTTATTTTTTAATTATTTCTAATTTTTTCCTTCCTTGTTGTTGTGGTTGTTATCCTCATTTAGAGGATTGTTGTCTACTATTCGCCTTAAGAATTTTACGCAAGCAAACGAGAACATTTTCGAATGATCGCAGTAGAAAGTAAATTATAGTATTGCTGAAATGCGAATTATATAACATATAAATGTGTCGTATTTTTACGAGGGTTAATAGATGTCTTTGTTTTAATGAGTGCCGTGTTATTATACTTTATACATTGCTTTCAACAAATTTACGCGATAAAACAAATCACTATAGTTGTATACCGACAGTTTGTTGGAAGTTTTATTTCAAAGCGGGACAAAAATATAACGACTACTTATTATTATTTACCCTTCCTAAGACGTCCCCTAAATTTTCCGGTATGGGCACTTGCTGACAAACTTTTGGAACTAAGTTCCACCAGTGGTCTGTCATGTTAGAAGGGGTGAATCAGAAGCATGACTGCAGAAAATAAGGGTAAACGACTTTCAGTATGGCATAATTCGGTGCCCTAGTATTTTAATCTTGATCGATATTTGAAATCCCAGACTTTCACGCAACTGCACCGAGGTTAAAAACAACACACCAACTTTGAATGTTGCTTAAGAAAATGTCTCTAATTCTTTTAGTAATTAAACCGTCTTTTCAGTTTCTTAATTGAATTATTCTAGCGCAATTTTATGTATAACTGGTTAATTTCCTTGCTTTATTTTAGTACCTACGCACTTTACTTTTAGTTTTTGAAGTAAGTGTGAGTGCAGTAAGAAAAACATAACGCGAATTTCGTTCGGCCTAATTGTAAAAATTGCGACGTTTTCAAAACCGAAACAAAGATTTCCAGGAAATTTATTTAAAAAGTATATTGAGTCTGAAAACTGCCGCATCGGCAAAAAGTGTAGAAATTCAAAATTCAGAATAACACATAAATAAGCATGTTTAATACAAGAAACATGCTTAATTATTCGATAATTAACAAATGTATACTGGAACAGTGTGAGTGTGTACCTATAGTTTAACTGTAATCGAGAATAGATTAAACTTTGTTTATTCAAGTGTTTTCGGAATAGAATTTATACTACATTTTTAACTTAACACATTTTTAATTAAATTGCTGCAATTTCAAAATTATTTCATTTCCTAGTTAACCTTTTGTTAAAATGACTCCGACAAAGACCAACAGTTTCTACATTTCTATTGTAGAGATTAAACTGTAATATTACACGTTGGATCTAAAGTGCCCACTAACTCTATTAAGAAATCACAAAATAAACACATTGAAAACGTCAATTTGTTCAGGTCTACTTAGGATACTTAATATGATACATACCTATTTCATATAAAATTTCCGGTGTAAATAGGTAACGATTTAGGCAATGTGTCGAATGGCTTTTAAAATCAGGATATGTACCATTGCTATTTGTTTGTGTCAATGCTCCGAATAACGTTTGAAATTAAGTTAATCGAGAATAACATTTTCCGTTGGTTAATGTCCAAATATTTCGTTAGTTAAATGTAAAATGGTATTCGGGTAAGAAGTATTCCTGGTAGAAAATGACAATTTATTCACAATGTATCTAATATTACATTCAACATGAACAAGCCAAAATGGCTAAACTAGGCTTTATCAGATAATGTTAATTATCAGAATTTTTTTCGATATCAACATTACAATTGTGTTAAACTCGAGATCAATCGGTTAATGTCGAGATGAGTCGTGCTCGAAGTTTTAATATTAATACTATTTGTTACTTCTACTGATCAGGTTTTAAGATCTGTAAAATCTGCATATTTCAATTTAATATTCTTTTTATTTATACAGGGTGATTCAAAATTGGTGTAATTCCTTTTAAGGGGTGATAGAGGCTCCCTTGGGGAGTACCAGAAAAATATTGAAATTTTTTTTTTCGAAAATTTCTAGAAGATATTAACAGTTG